AAGTGTTTTAAAATTTCCATTCTCTTCAATGTTACCAATCATGTGTTAAGATACACATAGTCATTTGCCTTTGCTTGACCAATAAAGCACAAATAAACATCTTTCTAGTTCTCTCTGCTTCCAACCAAGATCCATCTAATAACAACAATGATATCCCTCATTCTATGACTTCTTCTGAATCTCATTTGAATTTCTAGTAGTCCCTTGTAGACATCCTGCTTCAACCATATTTGAAGACTCTTCAGGAGGATTTTACTTGAATTAATGATATTGTTTGATGATTTCCACATTCTGTTGCATCATCTTTTTAGGGAACAGGAACAAATATGGAAATATTCCAATGTGTTAACCAGGTAGCCATTTTACATATTTATTCATAGACACTAGTGAGTATGTCTAGGTTTATATCTGTTTTCTGAAACAATTCACTTGGTATTCCAGCAATTCCTTGGGACTTCCTTTTTGCCACTACCTTCAGAGAAGCTTAGACTTCTTTCTTTAGTAGTAACTGGGTTTTTGTTATTAGGTTTTGAGCATTTTTTAGTCTGCATTATAAAGAGACTGCCAAATACAGCCAGAAATGCACAATCTGAAGAGGATAAAACTAATAATGGAAGCTTCTAAAGATTAAATCTCTGTGCACATCAAAAACTTTTTCCAACAGAGTGAAAAGAAAATTTACTGACTGGGAACAAACATTTGGCAATGCCATCTCAGACAAGGGTCTCATAACAAAAGTTTACAGAATACTCCTGGTCCTCCAGAAGAAAAAGACTAGTAACCCAATTACAACACGGGCAAGAGACATGGAAAGACTCTCCACAGAGGAAGATATTCAAATGGCCAACAGACACATGAAGCAATGTTCAAAATCAATGGCAATAAGAGATATGCAAATGAAAACCACAGTGATATACCGTCTTACCTCAGTAGCAGTTGTTAACTTTAGCAGGGGAGAAAGTAATAAATGCTGGATAGGACGTGGTGAGAAAGGAACTCTTATACATTGTTGGTGGGATTGTAAAATGGTATAACCTTACATCTTCTTTTAAAGCTTCCTACATCATTCAGGATTTTGTGCATAGACGCATAGACTCTTACACTGATGTGAAAATACTTCCAGGCTCTCATTTTTGCTAGTTGGAGAAGTGTCCTGACCCCTTTGCAAGGTAAAGAGCCTTCCTGACAATAGTAATACAAAAGAAATTATACTTTCCTTTTAAAAAATTCATTTCACACACCACTATATAAAGTCATATGGATTTCCACTCAATAACCTAGTAACAGAAGAAAACTGCCCATAGGTTTTCTAGGATGTGATTAATGAAAAAAGATCACTAGATATTTTTTCTTCCTGATCCTCTACATGTGTTCCAATGGCCATCGTTTCAGCTTTAACAGCTAAGTGCTTAAACACAGCACCAACATATTTCTTTTAGAAAAAAGTGCAAACCATAATGCAAACAGATTCCAGTGAGGTTGATTTGGATTCATCTCATCCCTGATTAATAAAGTTACCTCACAGGATTCCCAAAACTATAGAGGGAGTTCTAGTGAGTTAGTGGTAAAGAATTGTGCCACTGTTGTTGTTGATAACGTAATTGTGAGTTACCTACAACCAATAGTGACCCCGTGTAAAGCAATTCTGAAGCCAGACCTGTCTTGAGCCTGTCTCACTAATTCCCACACATCAACATCACTGCCCCAGTTACTGTATCGGTCCATCTCATCCATCTCATCAAGGATCATCCTTTCCTGAACTGTCCCTCCACCCTTCTGAGCAGGATATCCTTCTCCAAGGATCCGTCTCCCCTGGCCACATGCCCAGAGTACGTGAGATGGAGCTTCAAAATCCTAGTCTCCAAGGAGAAACTCAGTTTCACTCTCTCCAAGACAGGCCTGTTTCTTTTCTTGGCAGTCCATGGTATGTTCAATCCTCTTCTCCAACACCACAATTTGAAGACATCAGTTCTGTCAAGGAATTGTGCTGGCAACACAAAATCCCTTGATTCATATTGCTCTATGGACAATCACCTTCTGTATAATTTGTTTTTGTTGTTAGATGCCATAAAATAGTATCCAACTGACATCACAGCTATTTATCTGAACCTAATGCTATCCTATACCATTCTCATCATCTTTTAAGCCCATTTCTGTAGTCACTGTGTCAATCCTTCTCATTGAGGGTCTTTTTCTTTCCCTAACCATCTTCCTTTCTAAGCATTATGTCTGTATCCAAGAAATAGCCTCTCCTAGCAACATGCCGAAAGTATGTGAGACAAAGTTTTGTGATCCTTGTCTCCAAGGAGCTCTCTGGTTGCATTTTTTTCTTTTTATTTTATAGGGAGTCCATGGGATATTAAGTATTCTTCTGCAACCCAACAACAGAAAAGCATCAATCCTATCATCCTACTCATTGTCCATCTCTCATATCGTTGTTGTTGTTGTTGTTGTTATGTGCCATTGAGTCGCTTGCGACTCAAAGCGACCCTATATACAACAGCTCTAAACTCTGTTCTATCCTGTGCCAATCACACTGTCTCCGACACACTCATCCCGATTACCCCCTTCAGTGATTCAATACACCTCAAAAAGGGCCTTCCTCTCCTGCTCTGTCCTTCAACCCTCCCAAGCATGATGTCCCTCTCCAAAGACCGGTCCCTCCTTACAACATGCCCAAAGTATGTTAAACGAAGCCTCAGAATCCTTCCCTCTAAGGAGCAGCCCAGTTTAACCCTGTCCAGGATGCATCTGTTTGTTTCCCTAGCAGTCCATGGTACCCTCAATTCTCTTATCCAGCACCACAGCTCAAAGGCATCAATTCTCCTTCTATCCTCCCTGTCCTGATGCATAACAAGTGATTACAAAGACCATGGCCTGTATCAGACACACCCTAGTCTCCAGAGAGACACCACTGGTCTTCAGAACTTTGGAAAGGTCGCTGACAGCAGACTTTCCCATCGCAATACGTCTTTTAATTTCCTGGCTGCTGGTGCCAAGAGTGTTGACTGTGGAGCCAAGCAAACTAAAGCTGTGAACAATCTCAATCTCTTCATCATCCATCCTGATGCTGCCAATTGGTCCAGTGGTGAGAATCTTTGTCTTCTTGACATTGAGCCTCAATTCATATTGGAGGCTGCAGTCCTTGACCCTCTGAAGCAAGCACTTCAGGTCTTCCTCAGTTTTAGCAAGCAGGGTTGTGTCATCTGCATAACACAGATTGTCGATAGATCTTCCACCAATCCTGACCCCACATTTCTCCTCATAGAGCCCAGCCTCCCAGATAATCTGTTCTGCATACAGGCTGAAAAGGTATGGAGACGGGACACATCCCTGGCGTACGCCCTTCGCAATTTTGAACCATGCAGTCTTTCCCTATTCCATTCTGATGACTGCCTCTTGGTCCAAATATAGGTTTTGCATTAGGACAATAAATTTTCTGGGATCCCCATTCTTCTCAGAGTCAGCCACAGTTTGTTATGGTCCACACAGTCAAACATCTTTGCATAGTCAATGAAATACAGATATACATTCCTCTGGTATTCCCTGCATTAAGCTAAGATCCATCTAACATTAGCTACAATATCCCTAGTACCATGACCCCTTCTAAACCTAGCCTGTACTTCGGGCAGTTCTCTGCTGATGTGCTGTTCCAGTCATTTTTGGATCATCTTGAGTAGAATCTTGCTTGCATGTAAAGCAATGATATTGTTCTATAGTTTCCACACTCTGTTGGGTCACCCTTCTTTGGAATGGGAACAAATATAGATCTCTTCCAGTCAGTTGGCCAAGTGGTTGTTCTCCATATTTTTTTTTTATTTTATTGGGAAAAACATAATGAGGGTACAAGGAGCTGTGGGTTGGGGGCAGAAGGGTGAGGACGGGCAGGGATGCAGTTGTAGAGCTGCACAATTTAGTTCGTGGGGGGAGCAGGTGAAGGAAATGAAAAAGATCCAGTGGGGACCAGACGCTACAGGGGAATAGTAAGCATTTTCCAATGGCAATTAAACCAACTGTCTTATTGATTTGGGAACTGGATGCAGACTCTCTGACTTCTTCATGCTGAACAGGGGTGTCAATGTGAAGAGGGGAAGGGAGAACACTTTATCACTTTACTGGTGGTCTTGGGTTAAAGCTACTTGCCTTCTTGTTCTGTTAGAAGATATTTTCCTGTCATTTGCTCCCCTCTGGACTGAAAAGTGTTTTCCCAGGTGTGTCCAGTGGGAATAGCTGGTTGAACCCAGAAGCTCCATCCTCCTTTGCTTCCTTAGCTGGCAGTTGTATTTCCTTTTTATCACTGGCACTGGGTTCAGGGTCAGGTCTGGAGCAAAACTCAGTGTTAATGTTACCTATTGGAAAGGGAGCAAACCTAGAGAGAACAAACTTGTGAGTTACAAATAGAAGGGGTTTGGGGGTGTTGCTTTTAGGTTTACTGGGGGAGAGGGTGGCGAAAAGTAGCCTAGATAAAATTCTCTGGATGCCCTAAGCATTTTTCCCCCATCCAAGGGTCAGATGGCACAATCTGGGAACTGAGGAGCTCACCCTGCCAAAGACAGCCCACCCCGAGCCGAGGGCCTAAGACAGCCCATCCCAAGCAGGGCAACAGTCCCCAGGGGCTGGCTGGTACACTCCCCCTCCAATTCACCCCACCCCACTGTGATCCCCTCACCTGACTGAGGACTATGTGGCCAAGGGCAGCGTTTCCAATTCCAGCACCACGACTTTTACCCTATAAGTGGTCATACTATAATTTGAAGTAGGTGTCACTGCCCTCCCCCTTTATAAATGGCAAGGGGAACCTGAGAGTTGTGAACAGACTCCCCCCAGGTCTAACTAGCTTTTGGTAGAAGCATTCGACAGATCAAAATATATGGTGTGTTTAGGATGTCAGTCCTCTTGGACATGCTGACACTGTAAAGTGCCATCAAGTAGACAACTCACAGTGACCTTCAACAATCTATTGTATTGGTGATCATCTTCTCTGGCCTGTCCAAGGAAGCTCAAACCTGCAGGCGGCCGGATGTGCGTCCCATCTCCAGCTTGGGCAGCCGGTGGCCTCCCGCTTCCCCCACTGCCACCATCTTGGCTCTAAGAATTCCCCCCAGAACAAGTCCACTTTGCAGCAGTGTGGTGGCTCCGCTGCACCCGTCTTGGGGAGGCCTGGTGCCTACCATCCATCTTGGGTGACGGAATCCATAGGTTCTGGCTGTGGGAGCCTCATGGAGTTGCTGCGACAGTGCAGCAGCACAGTGTGGGCTCTGCGGGAGGGGGTTGGGAGCTGTGAGACTCACCCATTCCTCCTTGGGAATCCTTGAATTCCTGTTGTTGAGCCTTGATCTTCACTGAAGACCAGTCATCAACTGTTTAACTGTTCAATTATCAATAAACAGAGGTCTGTAGAAGGCCATAGTGGCCCTGCTCCAAGTGGTCCGCTGCTCCCACAGCTCATCACGTTGTCTCTGCCTCTACCACCATCTTGGATCTCCTGTTCTCCAGATTTCTTGACACAACGTGGTGAGCACATCCACGGCAGCATCTGTTAGCTGAAATATGTCAGCTGAATAAGGTGCATGTTAGTCTTCAAACTGACATCATTGACCCTCACTAATTTGGAGAGATGCATGACTGCAAACTTCCCCAATACAATATATCTCCTTAACTCCTGACTGTTGATACGAAGGGTTTTAATTGTAGATTTAGTAAAATAAAATCACTAGCAATTTCAATCTTTTCTTAATCTATGCTGATGTTGCTTACTATTCCAGTAGTGAAGATTTTGTCCTTTTAATGTTGAGGTGTAATCCTTATTGGAGGCTATACGTAAGCATTAAAGTCTAATTTATCACCTCTGAAAACTCCCTGGATGGCCAGCTGATAGTTGGTCTGACTCCACAGTACACAAGAATAACTTTAATGGAGGCTGACTGTCTCCTTTTTCAAACACACAGCAGATATGCCTGTTAACCCCAGCTGTGTTTTCACCACTCTAGCACTTTACCTTTAGAAATTCACCGTGTTTCTGCATTGACCTTCTCTGCTGAGATGCTGAGCACCAAATGGAACTGAAGGAAAGTAAACTTCCTGATTAGGAACTGAATATATCCCAACCTGTGCTCAGGTGAGTTGTGAACTTTCGTTAGTCCCCCAGGGATCTGGTGCACAACTTCATTCACATACCGAAGAAAACATGGGTACTTCCTTATTGGAAAAACAAGTTATACTTAAATGGATCCCAGAACTGAGAAGAAAATACTAAAAGCCACGATCTCATATTTGATCTTTGTCCCTGCATGGAAGACATGCTTATATGGTAGGTTGTTGGAGACCACCCCAATGAAAACCTTGTCAGTGAATTTTTAATGTCAGCAAATGTTTTCACAACCTATCAGCAAACTAATGTTGTTCTTGAGTGTCGTTGAATTGTAGATGACTCATAGTGACCCTATGAACAAAAGACCTGAACTCTTGTATAACTTTCTCCAAGTTCATAGGGTTTCTGGAGGAACGCTATTTCAGAAGTGGATGCCACTCCTGCTTCCAAGCTTATTTTAATCGGGGAGCTTCACCAAACACTGTCCGCCATGGGTGACCATTATTGCATTTGACACATCAGTGTCACAGTGTTTAGCATTACCACAACCACGAGTTACCTCTTCGTACAGCAAATGGACAGACCAGATAGATAACAAAATATTCCAGAGATTGCTTACTGTCAGCAAAAGTAAAAATAAAACGTAAATAAAACCAGAATATAATTCACAGCTGTTACTCCTCAAAACAAATAACTTGTCTTTAAGCTAAAAGAAAGATTCTCAATTATAAGCTTCCAGGTTGCTAAGGAATAAATAAAAAAAGATTCTTCAGAAAAATACTCTTGATCCTTAAGATCTGAAATCAATCATGCCCTTCTTCTAACTAAATCCTGTCTGTGTGTTCTTTTGTGTGGTACTGATCCACTCTGACCCTGTCTACCTGAACTGGATTTTGCCCAAAGTGGCACACAACAGAACAGTGATTCAGATTTAACACCCCCCCCCATCTTGGGAAAAGAATTAGAGAGACAGCAGTAAGCAAGAAATCAGAAGAACTGAGAGTATTGGCATAGAAGTAAAAAGACTTTTTTATGCCTCAGTGGTACAGAAATTCTCAGCCCTTGAGAAACAACATATTCAACTATTGAAACATCTGTTTTGAACAAAGCAAGCCCAAGGACTTTGAAAAAATTAGTAGAAGTGAGAACTTATAGACCCTGAGTCCCCCAGGAGGGGGGAACACTGGATGTAGAAAATGGGGATCACACCAAGGATAGTGTCAAGAAGGCCCATCTAAATGGTGAAAATGTATAATCCCTGCTTCCTGAAGAAGGGAAAGTTGGATGTGGACAACTGGGAGGGACCACATCACATCAGGAAATGCCTCAAGAAGATTGACTGAAAAGGTAAAAAACTAAATAGTTCTGTCTTCTCCACTTGGTCTTTGGTACATACCATTCTTCTTCCTTTCTTTCTGAGTTTGGAATGAAAGAGGTAGTGCCATGTTCTTGTGATGGTGAATAATGCTGCTATGAACACTGATGTATAAATCTTCATTTGTGTCTCAGATCTAATTTCCTTGGAGAATATTCCTAGTGGTGGGATAGCGGGTCATAGCGAGTTTTTATATTTAGCTTTTTGAGGAAATGACAAACTGCCTTCCTGAGTGATTGTACCCAAATGTCCAACCACAACTGAATGGATTGAGAAATTGCTCCATATTTACACAATGAAATACTACACAGCACTCAAGAGCAACAACAATTTTGAAAAAATGATACATTACTTGGGAAAGACTGGAAAGCATTATGCTGAGTAAGCTAACTCATTCACATAAGGGCGAATACTTAACAAGACCTTCGCTGTAAAAATTGAAAGATAATTAGTAAAATGTGTATGATGGTCGAAGGGGAGAAAGTGTGGGAGCAGAGGGTTGAGGATGGGTAAGGGTGAAATCACAAGGTTAGTCAATCTGGTTCATGGAGGGAGGGGGTAAAGAAAATGGGAAAGACCTGGTGGGGACTGGAAAAGATGGAACAACGTTGAGCATAGTTCAATGGTAATTTATTTCAAAAATCATTATGAGTGGGGATGATTGTATGAAACACAACGTGAATGAAGAAAACCATGAAACACAATGTATACAAACTTTGCAAGCAAACCAATATAAAATGAAAGTATTTTAAAAATACTTGTCCTGCTCCTCCTCTTTTTCTTCTTTCTTCACCTTTATAAGGTAAATTCTTTAATCTATGCAGTTGTTTCCTCTTTCATAGTTTCTGTCACATTTAGAAACTCTGTGTGTATATCTTGCTCAGTAATAAACAGCCATGTCCTCTGAACTCAGACTGTTCAACTCCATGTAAACTGTGCTTTTAGATAGATCACTTGTCATAGTGACTCTTCCCTGGAACTTCTGTGCATATTCTGTTGCATCACTGCTTCAACAATCAATTCCATCCACTCAAACACTTCATCCAGGTTCTGCTGCAACCAGTGAATTTCATAACTGGCAATAGTGTATCCAGATGCCTTGCAAGAGACTTTCACTGATATACCCCAGGCATGGTCACTGTAGGTCCTGATTTGTACCAGATTGACCTGGGAGCAAACACCTTTTGAAAGCATACAAAGTTTCAAATCCTTTCTGAGTAGCCACAGACCCTTTATCATTCCTGGGACTGGGAACTTCAGACCTGAAGCTACTGCCATGAAGAAAAGGATTCTCAAACTCCAGTCCATGGTGAGAGAGCTGTGTTTTCAGAACTTCTGTCAGGAGGGGTGTGGTGGTTATTGAGTGATCTTCTGATGGTGAACACATACCCAAATTTAACTTATTAGAACTCAAATTGTTTGCATATGTATGAGACAAAATATTTCAATGCTTAAATATGTACCTTGTTTGGGGAGTACATGCAGTTTAAAATTACTTAGACACAGCAGTTAAAGACTCCAGAAATGTTAAGGATAGAACTGGCAGCAGGTTGATACTATAAGGCTTGTTTGATTACCTGAATCCCTTCACACATACTTGAATTCTGTGTATGCCAAACTACTTCTACTGAAGAATACAGTGAGAGTGGTTAGGAAAAGATGAACTAGGTGCCATTTCTATCTGCAAGACAGGAAGAAATGAGGGTTAGAGGTAAGAAATACAGATTTTTCTTTTAACTTTGACACTGTATAGATTATTGCAGCATTCTAAGAAATTTGCTAGAATTAATATGATCTGTAGAAAGCAGATATTTACTTAATAGGTATTTCTTTTAATCTTTCTTTATATTAGTTACTGTTTTTATGTGCCATCAAGTCAGAACTGATTCTGCCTGACTCTCCAGAAGGTTTTCAGAGTCTGTGAATTTCATGGGAATATATTTCAATTCTTCTCCCTCAGAGCAGCTAGTATATTTGAACTGCATGCCTTTAGATTGGCAGTGTAGCTCCTCACCACTAGGTCACCAAAGGTTCATCAACTGAGGACTACTAGAAATACAAGATAGGCCTATAAGGGGCCATGGCACTACAGACATCACTGCTAATGTCAAGTAGACTAAGCAAAAGCATTTGGCTATGTGGATCACAATATTGTGACTAACCTTGAGAACAATGGGAATCACAAACCACTTGATTGTGCTCATGCAAAATGTAAGCTTGAACAAGGAAGCAGTCATCACAACAGTGCAAGGAAACATTGCATGATTCAAAATCAGGAAAGTGCATCAGAGATATGTCCATCTCCATATCTTCTCAATCTACATGTGGAACAGATCATTCAGGATGCTAGAAGTTATAAGGAGAAATGTGGCATTAAGACCAGAGGAAGATTCATCAACAACCTGCATCATGCAGATGACACAATCTTCCTAGCCAAAACTGAGGAGTACCTGGAGCGTTTTCTGCAGAAGGTCAGGAGATAAAGTCTTCAGTATGGATTGAAGCTCAAAATCAAGAAAACAAAGATCCTCATCACTGGGCCAATTGTCAGAACCATATTAGACTGAGAAAAGATTGACATTGTCGCAATTGCAGCTTGCTCAGTTCCACAATCAATACACTTGGCATCAGCCTTGAGGAAATTAAAAGATTAAAACCTACTGTCAGGGACTTCTCCAGAGTCCTGAAGAGCAATGGTGTCAGTCTAGAGAAAAAGGTGCCTTGATCTTCAGGATTATTTGCTATGTATCAGAGAGATGGGCAATGACTAAAGATCAATTTTTTTTTAGCTGTGGTGCAGGAGAAAAGTATTGAACATACTATGGACTTCCAAGAGAACAAGCAAGTCTGTCCTAGAGAGGATAAAACCAAGTTGTTCCTTGAATCAAGGATTTTTAACTCCATCTCACATATTTTGTGCATGTTATCCAGAGGGACCAGTGCTTGGAGAAGGAAGGAGAGTTGTAGAACAGTTCAGGAAATGGATTGACACCGTGAGTCAAGGGGGGTAACCATGTGAGAGAAATGGCTCGGGATAGGGCAAGGTTCAGACCTATTGTGCAAAGAATCACTATGAGTCTTGCTTGAATAAACAGCACATAACACCACCACCAATATTTTATTAAAATAAATTTCAGAATTCACAGAAAAAGTTAAGCGTTTCTGTGTAGTGTATTTCAAAACGGAAAATCAAGTAAAAACTTTCTGGTATTCAGTAATGAATAGAAGTTGACTTACAAGCACTCATTCATAGAACTTGTCATCTAACCCCTGCACCTTCTTATTAGGCTAAAAAAGATTTGTCTCAAAGAGCTGAACCAAACTCACAAAGGATGAAGTTGAGTAACAGTCTATTGCCATGGTCATAATAATAAAACAAATAAACTTCTTCCCTGATATAACATATTTGGGTAGATCCTTCCCACATCAACTCTCATCTAGGCTGTGTGACACCATTGGCAAATGAAACAGGAACAAGTCACCAAAGTCCTTTGCCACATTATAAGCTATCTCTCTCCTTGGAGACCTAAAACCACCTGTGAACATGTCCAAGATATGATGCTGAATTTAGGAAGGACACGTAGAAAAATAACCAAATGCCCTGTAGCAAGAGTCAGCCAGATTCCACACATGTGAAGAGGCCGGAGTAGGCTACCCAAGTTAAGTGTAAACAATGTTGTTGGACCCTAAACTAAGCTCTGAGAATGTGGACCTTCCTCAAGAAGGAAGAACTGGATGCTAATGATGTTAGGGCTGAAGGAAAGATACTAATTCATATTTCAGTGCTACTTTTTTTCTTTTTTAAAAAATTGAGATTTTAATGCATGTGTATAGAGACTTTGGATTTCCATTCATTCATTGTTGCACATTTTCCTCCCTGCCCACCCCTCCCCCATATCACTTTAATCCAGACTCTTGTCATGAAAATAATATCTAATCATATATTTCTTTTAAACAGTTCTCGCTCTCATCTGTTTCAATGCAGTGTACATTATTTATCCCTTCTTTTCTTAGTTGCCCCCCAACCATGATGTTAGTCCCATTTTACAACAGTGGCATTATGTAGTATTTGTCCTTTCGTGACTGAGATATTTCACTTTTCTTTATGTCTCATCTCTGATTTTTTCTTCTAGAATGTTTCTAGTGAGGCTCTTGTCTTCCAGCTCTCTGATCCTCGGTTCCATCTCTTCAGTTCTATATTTTGCTTAAAATGAGCAGAAGTTGAAGCACTTTCTTTGCAAAAACTAAGAACTACAAACTTCATTAATTACATCTCAAAATCAAGAAATGAAAAATCCTCACCTCTAGGCTACAGGAAGCACCATAATAGAGAAAAGAAAAAAATTGACAATTATTACATCATATTTATATCCACAATTGACAACCTTGGTACCAGCAGTCAAGAAAGTAAAAGACGTAATAAAGGAGGTCAAAATTGATTCCACTGTGGAAAGCTGGGCCACTTCAGTAGACAGTGTCACAGATGAGAGCCACAAATAGGCAAGAGAGTAGAGAGGAAGCTCCTACTCACTTGCTTTAAGTGTGGATCTGAAGGACACTTGGCCAAGGGTGGCTCACATTAGGTCCTCATGGCTAACAAGATTGACAGGCCCCAGCTCACTGCTGGAAACAAAGGAGGATGCTTCAATGATTTAGATCCTCCCAGAAGAGCTGTGGGTGAGCATTAACGTTATTGGTAAGTATATTCGTTTTCTCCTGGACACAAGAGCCTACTATTTGGTCCTAAAAGCCTTCTGAGGTCCCAACTCTTCTCACTATTTCTTAGTTGTTGGACTTGATGGAAAACCTCATAAGCAGTTCCTTACTTCACCTCTGCCTTGCATGTGGACTTCCGAGTTGTAAAACAACCCAGTTGTAGATGAAATTTGCTCCAGGACTTAAGAACAATAAATGACATAGTTGAGCCTCTACGCCTTGTGGTTCCTAACCTTTATACTATAATAGAAAAAGTGCTAGTCAAGAGGCCTTTTATTTTAAGAACTACCTTGCCTCTGTAACTTGATTTGTGCCACTATTAGAGCCTCTACTTGGAATATTATTGTTGTTTTAACTTTTGACTCATGTACTTCTAACTTGTTAGTTAAATTTGTGTCTTCTAGGCTCCAACAATTCCATGACACATCTTGAAGGATATGAACATGTATATGGCTAAGCACAGTTGATAACAGTGCATCTAGATTCCAAAATCAATCTCCACAATAGTCTATGTGTTTCCTATTGCCAAAGGGGCCCTTTAGAGTAGTCAGAGAAGATCTTCACCCTGAAACCTACAGAGTCCCTTTTCAGCAGGAAGTAGCTAAGAGAATACGCCATCCCCTTTTCCTTATAAATCAGGATGAAGTCTCTCTCCAGGAGGAGTGATAGCGAACGGCAAAGGACACACTGACAAAGGAGATTAAACAGAACTGGCTTTGACAAGCATTGTGGCAATTGGACAATTAAAACAGACATTCCGGGGAGTGGGAAAGAAGAATGAACTGGGGAGGAGGGTAGAGAAAACAGTGAGACAATGAATGAATAAAAACCCAAAATCTCTGTAAATGTTCATTAAAATTAATAAAATTTAATAATAATTTAAAAAATAAAAAAAGACTTTCAAGAGGGGAGGAAAAAAAAGAAGAATGAACAGGGGAGGAGGGTAGAGAAAATATCGCAACAATGACTGAATGGAAACCCAAAATCTCTGTAAATGTTCATTAAAATTAATAAAATTTAATTAAAAAATAAAAACAAAGTAAAAGACATGTTGCATTGGGAAAAGTGGGTAATCAATGACCTCCACAAAGTGCTGAAGAGTAACAATGCCAGTTTAAAGACTGAAGTGTGTCTGATTCAAGCCTTGGACTGTTCTCGCTAAGTCTTTGAGTGTTGTACGGTGAATAAAGATGACAGAATACGGATTGACGTCTTAGAGGTGTGGTGCTGGAAGAGCTAAACACCCAGTGGAGTGCAAAAAAGATGAACATTATGTTTTGGAGAGAGCGTAGCCAGGATGCACTTTAGAACAAAAAATGGTGAAACGTCATCTAACATACTTTTGGGTATGCTGTTACGAGGGGCCAGTCCATGGAGAAAAATATCAAACTTGGAAAAGTGGTGGTTAGCAAAGAAAGAGAAGATTCTCAATGAGATGGATTGAAACCGAGTATGTAATGGTGGGTCAAAGTGTGGAAGAGATGATGAGGAAGGCACAGGATGATGGGAAGGACAGATTATAGATGTTTGTTGAATTGCTAAAGTTGATGACACCTAAAACCAACATCTCACAAGTGTTCATGTATCTATTG